ACTGCCTACCCCATCCACGCAATTTTCCCCCTTGCCACCACCGCGCTACCGATTCGCGGTGGATATTATCGAAGAGTGCTTATTTTCAGAGCGAGGAGAAAACGCTGGTATGCCGTAATATAAAATCCTCCGAAAAGTTCTTTTATTTATATTTATCTTTCTTTCTTTCTTTTATTTTAGAAAATTTTTCTACATTACAAAAAAATTAAAAAAAATAACATTCTCTCTGTTACATATAGATATATTTATGGTTATTGTCTTAATTACATCAGATTTGAAATCAAATTTGAGTTTATGGCGGATTTGTATTCAAATCTGGATCTCGACTCATAAAATATGTAAAAATTTATAGCTGAAAGGGATATGTTCAATAATTTCTCTGTCGTAGTACACAATATCTTCTATAAATAACTGAGGAATAATAGAAGGAAAATAGAAACTATAGTTTTATGCAAGCAATGTAAAATATAATTTCTTGCAAATTTTAGAAAGTATTTTTGCTACAATATAATTAACTTTTTGATAAGTGTGCCGAATAGATTTAAAAAGATTTAGCATTTATACAACCGATAAAATAATAGTGAACGCTAATATATTGTAATATAATTCGCAGGAATTGTATTCCCGTGTAACTTTTATTAATAACGTCAAAGTTAAACTTGCGTGAAAATCGCTTAATAGCAATGGCGATCGCGATGGAAAGCAACGCGAAAGGAACAATTCATCAAGATCTGCGATTCATAAAAGACTTCTAATCCCGAATCGCGACGGCGCTTTGCAACGGGGGGGGGGGGGCAAGGTAGGGACAACTTCGAGTGGCCATTGTAATGTTAAGCGTCCATCCCCCGTTTTCACCCCTCACTCTTCTTACGACCAGGTCCGTTATCTCGACGACGCTTCCACGGCGGAAACATCAGCCGCTCCTCATTTTCCGCAAACGAGCGACTAAAACAATGACGAAGAAACGTAAAGATCGCGCTATTGTTATTGCGGTTATTAGCGAATGAATAATTCGCGCAAACCCATTATCGTCTATTAAGGTCAAATTATTGTTGGCGGTATTCCGCGTGGCCGCAACTTAGTGCATCCTCTTACAACGTAATTAGTAATAATCCTATTGAAGAATAACCGGGTATGCAATTGCAAAAGTCGAAATTCGATCATTACTATTCAAATGGTAGATCACAAGCTTTGTTGATCGAAAAATTTGATCGAAAAATCAGAGATTTCCGTTAAAATTTCAAGATAATTGATATATAACATTGATATATAACGTAAAAAAATATAGTTAATTAATTGTAACTAATAAAACATATTTGCCATAAAACTCTTTATGGTTTATTTCATTTAATTCAACTATGGCAAAACAGATCTTTTGTTTATACCTCCATAATTTCAGAGAGTAAACGAACTATTCTGTGGATGGCGATTACTCGTCTAACCTCGAGAAATGCATAACGATCACTCCTATAGTTGAACGGGTCGCGAAGGGCTCGAAGTCAATGGAGAGGAGACAAACCCCACGCGACGGACCGTTCATGCGAAAGCCACCGAGCTTTTTAATCGATGTCACCCCGTCCGTCCGTCCGGTCCAGATTAATTTCATCATGAATGTTAGCCCAACACTTGAGATCCAACCGCGAGCAAACACCCTCCATACACTCTATTAACAGTTTAAAGCGTATTACAGTCGCGTCGTTGAGCCGCGCTTCGCACGCACGATCAACAGCAACGAGTCACAATTCGCTCGGGAATAATGGCTTTACTCGTCCAAAGAATATTTATATGGAAATGTTTGCACTTTCAAGTTGATCCGTTCGATCGTTTGTAGCCGAGTTGATATCGATGTGATTTTAGCAAGTTTGGTTTTAGAGCGGCACAATTAATTTATATGCGATATATTGTTACAAGTATAGACGTAAATATTATTGTTTTAAATATTATATTGAATAAAATAAACATTATAAATATTAGAGAGAATTTAGTTTTAATTCGGCAAAGATAAATTAAATTAAAACATTAAGTTTGGAAAAAATAATATAACAAAATTCAATAGCAAAGAATCGATATTTGATATTTGAATGACAAATAATCAATCTCTTTTTCACTGTTCTGTTATAAATTCGATAGAAGTAACTTTTGCTCGTTTAATCGACGCTTTTTTAGAAACGGCATTTGTATAAATTTGCGGAATCGAAGGAGATAGCCAATTAGGTCGTGTCTCTAGAAACGGGACTTTCGTATGTCAACGCTCAACGTTAGTAGAATAAACCAGGACCGAGTCAGACAGAGAGCAGACGTAGAGCACGGAACAGCGTGCAAACAAAGATGGATAGAGGCATCGAAAGACAAGGAGAAAGATACGAGGCGAAATCCCTCGTACCTCCCCCTCGCCTTTTTCGGTGGAGAAATAAAACTGTTGTATCTACTAATAAAGGCGGAGTCTTACTTTTAAAAGCGCGCACTTCGCTTTCCTTCTCCCTCCATCCCGCTCTTACTCTCTTTCTTCTTCTTCTTCGTCCTGCGTTAAAATAGGAGGGATTAGTTCCTATGGTAGCGCGGAGGCTTAAGCATTGATGAGGTTTTTAAATGGGTTCTCCTTTGACGATGGTAAGAGAACGCGAAAAGCGAGTAGGGGTGGCTACGACAACCGGGTAGAAGAGACAGGCGGGCGGGCGGGCGGGCGGACGATATTTACCGGGAGATTAAAAAATCGAGGGAAAAATTAAGTGTTACGGGGGCACGCCCCTGTTCTGGACTTAATTCTACGTAATCCTTTGCTAAGATCACCGAACCTACCTCCCCCTCCTGCAACCTCGTCACCCCTTCTACATTGTTCCGCTTCATGGAAGATCGATCGAGATTTTATCTTCCTTCACGCAAGGATATGCTTCTTGTCGCTCGTTAATCATCTATGATTATATTTGCTCAAGAAAATGAAATGATTTCTCGTCGAGACTTGTTAGCATTATTCGAGGATTAAGTAAAATGGCCGGATCTCTCGAACGAAGGAGATTTTATTTTTACTCTTACGCGGTTTTAATCGATAAGCAAAAACCGAACATTCTTACAATGAAACCGAGCGAAATGAAGTTTCGACTAGTACGAAATACCCTGCGAAAGGACTTTTTCCCAGCCGGTCGCCCTCAAATAATAATGAAACTTAATTACATGAGGCCAAGTCGATATGTTGGCGGTACAAATATTTAGAGGGCGAACGCACGGTGGTCGCAGAGCGATGTTATTAGTAAATTAACTGACATCAAAGAAAATGCGAACGCTGGTCACTTACTCTACTAATGGAAAGCCTGCATCCTCCTGATGCGAGAAATATATATACATATATATATATATATATATATATATTTATATAGACATTTATATATATACATATATACATATATATATATATATAGTATATAAATTTTAAACATATATTTATAACGTATTGTATAAAAAGAGATACATTTTTCTCATACGTAGAAAAACAATTGCAAGTTTTATAAACTACTTTTATCAAATCTTTGTTAGATTATATGCGTTTCAGTAATAGATAATTGCAATATTTACATTATTACATAAATACTTATTTAAGTTCATAATTTTAATAATGCATCAAACGATATTATTATGGATTTAGATATTTTTCAAATATTTAAGTTAAAATATTTAATTAACAATTTACTGTAAATGATTTAAATATTTGACGCACATATATTTATAAATTTTAAGTAAATATGTAATACAAAAATAGATATAAAATATTATTTTATTTAGCTTAAATTCATTCAAATTTAAAACGACCAGTTACTAAATGTTCAATGTCTACTTATTCATTCACTATAATTAATCTTCAGCAAGTGATCGGAATCATGTTTCAGAACCGTATCATATCTATTGTTATTGACGAATGAACGCTTTAACGCGGTTGTCGTTAAGAAGAAATCCCGAAGATTGTCGACATTTGAAGGGATAACGCGCGATTCTTTTGACAAGAAGTGAGAAATCTGCGCGCAACGTTTCCTCTCCGTCTCATCTCTGGGACCGGCTGTGCTCCACCGGGTGTCCGTTGCGGAGGGTCTTAAGGGTGATTTTTTTTCTCGTTCCTCGGCCTCGGCCGGACTAAATTTCGCGCGTTAAGCCCTCGGTGTAATCCCGCCCTTAATATTCAAAAACGTGATCGCCCTACCAAGAGTGCTGAGGAACTGGTTCGTAGCTAGTCGAACGGAGACGCCACCTCGACGGGGAGGGAGCTTTTCATATGCTAATTGGCATTCGTCATTTTCTTATGGCGCCGACTTAAGTGTGCTTAAGGCTGCTAACTCCTTTCCCGGCGTTAGAGAGAGCTGGCTACGCCTCGCCGGCATCCTCGTAATTGGACCTCTCGCGATTCGATTCGCGCTCACATGCAAACGAATACATTCTTAAAAATCGTTTAAAATCTTCAATTTAGTAAGAATGATCCAAGTGAAAAAACAAAATATTTCTTATCATCAAGCTTTTCTGCTAATTTGATACATTTTATTTATTTTTATGCATGTGTATTATTTACTTATACACTTAATCTAAACATTGTAAATTCAAAAACATATACATCGAATTTTTTTACATAATTTCTATAAAATTTTAAGAAATATATATATTATTATTAGACTGCGATCGATTGCGATTTACATTAATAATAATGATGCATTCAAGAAATTAACAAATATAATCTTTGTTGGGGAAAATTCTCAAATTGATATTTAAGCATGAGCAAGGGTCAATATAAATTTAAGTATAACAAACTGTTGTGTTTAATTCAAACTTCAATTGTTGAATAATGAACACTGTATGACGATTACTCTTTTTTATACTCATATGAATAGCAGCGAGCCAATGTACACCTCCACGCGATATGTCGGTAATGTTATCCCCATCGTGGCACGTATTACACTCTAACTTTATCGGAAGATATCTCGGCGGCATATCTGTAAAAAGATAACGCGCGTATTCATCGTCGAATAGTGCCGCGCCTGTGCGCCCACGTTGAACGCTTTACTCTTTCTTTTTCGTAACGAGAAAGGTGAAAAGACGGAAAACGAGCCTCCCAAGGGGTGAAATTTTACGCGAGATGTGGTCATCATGTGACCTTACTTCGGAAGTGAATTATTATTAGCAGATAAAAGATAAGACGGACCGTATTATCGGAAAGTGTGAAGTCAAAACTAGTCTAAATCAACGTAAGTAAATGCTTGTTAAATGTATGTTATCTTACAATGATCTTGATTCTTTAAATAATTATCATAAATATATGTTACTCGATTATAGTAGAAGTTCGCGTTTGATATTGCAAATATTTATAAAGTTTTTATAATTCTAGTAATGCAATGACTCATGATGACACATGATGACTGATATCAGAGATGTCATTGCTACAGTTTTTTTTTATGACTTTGATTTCATATGTGATAATCCAAAATAGATTAAAAAAATTTAAGTTGTAGTAACAGAACATTTTTTTCTATGTATATAAAACACAGAATATGTAAATAAATAAAACACCATATCTTTACGTGAGTAATGAAATTTTAACATTTTTTTTATCTCGTTTAAAGGGCTTAAGGTTTAAATCCCTTCAGAAACATGACGATTCGTTTTCCGGAAGTAATAAGAAGTGGATCGGAGATGGAAGACGGTTTGTCAGGACCTGCCAATCCAATACCTAGTCAATCGATCGATTGCGGATGCGGACAAATGCAATGTCCAAAATTGGCAAAATTTGCAACTCGAAAACTTTTTGTGGGATTAATTTGTTGGGTTGGTGTAGTGCAAGCTGCGTCGTACGCTTATTTTCAAGTGACAGGCTCCACGATAGCTAGAAGATTTCAAATCGATCCTTACATAATGGGTGTGTAAATAATATAAAAAATATTTAATTAAAAGATTTCTTAAAAAAATAATATATTTTTAGTTATAACATATTGTAAAGCATATTTTAACATAAGTTGTTTTCTTAAGTGTTATTAAATCTTTAATAATTAATTATGTTGTATTATATTTTACAAATTATTTGTGAAAAAGTTTGCATCAGCAACTTTTCCTACCAAGATTATTTTGATAACAAAAAATATTTTGAAAATTTACTTATTTATTCATTTTGAAATTTAAATAATTTACTTGAAATTATTTAAATTCATCTAAGATACTTTTAATATGAAAACTTAATACATATTGTCTTAAAAAAACTTATCTTTTTCAGATTGGGTTCTTGTTGTGGCAGAAATAACACCTACTATTTTTGGATTAATAGTAGCATATTGGGGCGACAGAATACATAGAGCTTCATGGATAGGAGCTTTAACTCTTTTACAAAGCTTTTCATATTTTATTCTGATAATACCTCACTTGACACATCAGGTTCATGTGATCGAAGAAACGCCAAATGTCACTCACATGTCATTATATGCGGGTTAGTGCGCTAAACGTAAAATAAAAACTCTAAAACAAAATAATTTTAATATATCATGATATTATTATACATTAAAATTACATAAATCGTACATAAAAGTACATAAATCGTATTATTGTGGTATTTGATTTTATTTGTTAAAGAAGAAAAATAATTTCTTTTATGTAATTTCTTTTATATAAAAATATATTTTAAATTTCACAGATGACAGTCCCGAATTATGTAATCTCGGAATATTGAGCGTAATCAAAGAAGAAGACGAGCCCTGTTATTTTACTATGATTATCTTTATTATAGTACTAATCATAAGTGGGATGGCAAATATTGCGTACTTTGCGCTTGGGATTTCTTATTTGGACGATAATACAAAGAAAAAACATGTAACTGCATTTATTGGTGTAATTATCGCTGTAAAAGTCGTTGGAATTCTTCTTGGATACTTCTTAGGTTGGGGATGTCTTCGGTAAATATATTTTATTATATTATAATTATTACATTATTTTCAAAAGTTTGATACATTACGAATATACATACAATTATTTTTAAATTTATTGCTTTGCGTCCTAGGATAGACGCGAATGATTTCAGTGTTATAAAATCATATCAGGATCAAATTGGTGCCTGGTGGCTTGGATTTCCAATTCTCTCTATATTATTGATGGTCCCTGCCTTGTTGCTATCATGGTTCCCCAGAAGATTGCCCTCAGAAGTATAACAGAATTTAACATGAATTTTAGGATTAATTAGAATCATATAAAAGTTGTACGATCCAACTAATGCAAAAATTATAAATTAATATAAATTACCTTTCTTTATTATATTATACTTAAAAAAATGATTTTTTTAACTTAACTTTATTAACTTACTTTGTTTTAGGTTGTTGAACAAGCCGCAGCTTCACTTCTGGATCGAACTGCGTTACGTAACCGAGCACCCAACACAATGACCAATCAAAAAGCCGGTAGTCCCGATTTTTGTCCGTCATTATGGAGATTAATTACTAACAAGATTTTAATATGCAACATTCTAGCGACGGTATTTGGTGCTACAGCGCTTTTAAATTTTGTAACGCATGAAGATATTTTCATAGAGTCCAGATTTCACATACCTCGACCGACCGGAATGCTTCGAGGATTTAGCGATCCTTTGTCATCCAGACTAGTCACTAGTAAGACAACTAATGTCTCTATCAAGTATATTAATAAAAGAAAGAAGAAAAGAATGAGAAATTACAATGATATTAAATATCTTTAAAGCACTGCTATAAAATAATTATATATTAGAAGTAATTTTAAAAAAATTATTTATATATATTAGAAGTAATTTTAAAAATAAAAAACTAAAATTTATTCTCTTTCTAATTAACGTTCTATGAGAAATAAAATTCTATAAGATAAAATACTTACGTTTCTGTATTCTAGTTATCGTGAGACCTATTCTGATTGGATTGATCATAATCATCAGTGGCTTAGTATTGGCCAAGGTAAAGCCTCGAGCGAGACATATTGTTGGTTACAGTTTCATTATCGTGCTTTTGACTGTAGCAATTATTATCTCTCTAATTTTTACCACTTGCGAAAAGCCATCTATCGTCGGTTTAGAAAAAGGCTAGTAAGTATGGCAGTACTTAGAAATAACTCATTTTCGAATAACAAAAATATAATATAAGATAAAGAGACAAGATTGCATTTTATCTTACCATATTCTTTAGTACAATTTTGCGGTAATCGCACAGTCTCAAATCTAAACTTATTAATTAATACTTTTTTGTAGTAGCGGATTGTTGAAATACTGCAATAAAAATTGTCGCTGCTCGAAGGACTCCGATTTCCGACCTGTTTGCGAAAGCTCGGGAAAGTTCGTATACTATAGTCCTTGTTATGCCGGTTGCGATGCAATCATTTACGTCGATAACGTGAAGATCTACAGCGGTTGCAGTTGCGTGGAGGATATGACAGGATGGGGAAATGATCAAGCGAAAGATGGCCCTTGCAATTCGACTAAATGCCAGGCTGGCTGGATATATTTTCAGGTAATTGCATTTTTGTTTTTGATTTTAAAGTAAGTTGAGATTATAATTATTTAATTAAAATTGTAACATTATATTATATTATATTATTATATTATTATATTATAATTATATTTTATATTATATTAATTTTTTTAATCTAACAAAATATCTTAATCAATTGCAGATGAAAAGTCTTCTTTTTTTTGTTTTTTGTTTTTTGTTTTTCAGTTTGGATCTTTGTTGGCATACGCGTTAGTCGCTTCCACTTTTGTAGGAGATTTATTGATCAACATAAGATCCGTCTACAAACAAGACAAAGCTATTAGCATAGGTTTTTGGATGACGTGGATTGCACTGTGTGTTTATGTGCCTGGCAAAATTCTTTATGAATATGTCTCGCGTGAGGCGTGTCAATATTGGGGCAATCAAAAAGAAATTTGTCATTTATACGATACCGAAAAGCTCGGAAATTATCTGTGTTATTTGACAATACTATTCTTATCAATTTGTCTCTTGTTCAAAATTATGCTTTGGTTTTTCTGCAAGAATTTACAACTATACGAAGAAAGAATTGAAAATAAAGACCAAGAAAACGGCGCGCTACGAAGATTGATCGAACGAGCAACAACTGAAAGAGAGCAACCGGAAGCATCGAACAACAATAGTAAATATTCTTTTCAAAAGATAAATTTCCAAATTTATTTTTTCCGTAAAAAAATTAGAATTCTTTTTTAAAAAATAATAAGATAAGTTTTTTTTCTGAATCAATTAAAATACAATAATATTTGCAGATGATATAAGACACGTAGAAGCGATTGTTGAGCCAGAATCAAGGACACTACCGGAGGTAGCAATAGCGGAAGAAAATCCACTGAGGGAAGAAGAAAGTACTCAGAAAAGTGCACCTATGAAATACGGCCCGTTAGGCTCAGGCAATCGTAGAACAGATTCGACTCCTCCGACAAAACATAATTCGCAATCGACAATCCGAAATCTTGACTCCGAAGATGAGCTAGACAGTTCGAGTGACGAGAGTAAAAAACAATCGAGTTCACAAGTTGCTTACACGCCGTTGGACATCGATTCTGATGTCGAGAGTGATCTCGGCAGCGTTGGGCCTAGGTCACGAAAACGTATATCAAGTAAAGATTACGATCAAACAACTCAGGACGAGAAGGATCGACCTTCATCCAGAAATGCGTCCCTAAAACGTCGATTTCCAAATCCCGATCATTACGAGGATCCACAAAGGGGCAGAAATTCCAAATTCAAAAATCCGAATAGTTATCAGGACACCTCCTTGAATACAAGTAGCTCCAAGTTCGCGAGGAAGGGTCAAGAGAGCGACGTGCCCAAAGGCGACTTCAATGAAGTTGGCATACCGATAGTGGATCCGTTTCCGGACGGGAAGGGCAACTCGGGCAGTACCAACACGGCCCACTTGAAGGACGTGAAGTCGTTGATCGATCGATACGAGCAGAATGCGAGTCAGGAAACTTTAGACGAAGATCGGTTATCGGTGAAGTCAATAGAGGATACGAGAACTCGACCGGAGAACAAGATGGGTATACCTTTGGTAGCTATGGTTCCTGGTAGGTCATCCTCTCGAGGACAATCCTCTTCAGGTTTTAGCAGCTTGCCAGATATACAAGACAAGAATCTTGATACACGCTTGGAAAGACTTGGGACTCCCAGTCCAAAAAATGTCGCTAAAGGTAACAAAGTAACGCGTCAAACCGATCTTTAAAATCATGATCGCTCTTACGACACGCCTAAACGATGCGTAGTTTTATGGAGGAACGAGTAAACATTAATAGAACAGAAGCGTTATCACGATAAATTTATATCACCGAGTGATAAGAGACTGTAGCAAATTTTAACTATAAAAGTATATCTATAAAAGTACTATCTCTGACACCTGTCGCGTTGAAGATATAAAATACCAAACTCCCGATTTAACTTCTCCCGATTTAACTCTTCTTTGATAGAAGAACAATAAAATTTAATGAACATGATTTTTTTTTCATTATGCATTGTAATTTTGAGTTTCTCCAATTATCATGCAAAATTGATACTCTGATAATAGATATTTTATTAGATCCGTGAATTCTCTAAATATTTCTAATAAAGGATAATCGGCTAATAAAATGTTTATTATATTTAATGGCATATTTTCATGTTTATAGTTATCCTTTGTAAAATGTGTATAATCATGATATCCATTATAATCTTTTTCATATTTATTGTACAATTAAAATCCTATCATATATCCGAATTTGGTGAATTATTTCATTTACCTGTCTGCTAGTAATGACTTTGTGTGTTGTTTTATAGTATCAACTTATATATAGATTAAAATTCCTTCTAACGCGTTATAATAACAGCGAATACATCATCATTTTATTTCATTATGAGTGGATAAATTATTGTTTTTTACTAATTCAAGGTATAACCATTATATGTACAATTATTTAACTTTATGGATAGTCCACGGTAGCATGTGAATCATTGTTTTTAGCTTTCACAACGATGTATAGGAAGCGTATGTATACATTATACATGCTGATTTGGCGTCCATTATTTTTCGTTCAAATATGAGTCCGAAATAAAGCGAATATTTATACCGTACGTACGATGAATTCTCTCATTACATTAGTGTTTGTAATAAAAATAATTAATTAAAGTAAATTAAAATAGTAAAATAATTAATAAAAGATCAGTGATCACGCTCTTCTCTCGCGAACACCATGGGTGATCTACCAACAGTCGGTTCTATCTAGGTTACTACGAGCTTTAAATAGCTAAGGAGGTGCTTAAGGTACTTGTAAAGTCTTTATTTGTCGGTTCTCGTTCGCTTCGCGTTCGTCGTTCGATCCTTCTTCCGAAGACTTCCGAAGATCGAAGTCTCTCCCTGCGCAACGTCGAAAGTGGAGTTGAATCTTGATCATTAATTATTCTTTAAAGCGTCTCACCAGGCTCCTCGGCTATATCTTCTAATTCGATTTCTTCATCAAAGATCTTCACGTCTTTGACAAAATACCAAACGCCCACGTCGAATAGTGTACCGATCGTTACGAAACCTAAAATAATTAAAGAATTGTAATACTCGAGCAATAATAATTGCGCTTCTTCACTGTAATATAAATTTTGTAAGATACTCACTGGCTGCGGTAAAATTCAGCAAATACCTCAATGCCTCACCGTTATACAACCAGCAATTCCCTGTCCCCGAACAAGTTTTACCCCAAACAAGACAGGTTTTATCTAAAAAAATAATATATAAGTTAATCTTTAAATAAAAACGTGTAATTAAGTAAACGTCTGAATGCAAATATTTATACATATTCAATGTAATAATGTAAACTAACAAAGATATGATACGCTATCGAAAAAAATAAATAAAGCTATCAAGTGCATTATTTTATTTGATAATAAAATGTTAACCTGTCTCTGTTAATGTCAGTCATTAACTGTGAAATATTAATTGTGAAATTTTTTTATCACTAACCTAATATAAATCCAAATAAAATAGGCGATGGTATGAAGGCGAAAAGGCTCATTATCATTAACCCGAAGCCCATGGCTACCGCCTTGTCCTTCTCATCGACGCATCTTACGGAAACTAAGAAATTCGATGCTCTTCCCGTTGCGCCGCTAAACTTGAGAAGACACACTACCGCCAAAAAGATATAGAACTTCTGCATACAATCTACCGGACATGAACCCGGAATAGCCGTTCCCAAAATCTCCACGGTGGGTTCGGTCGTTTCCAACGGGACTTCGGTAGAGAATGGATAGGACGTAATGTTAGCGAATGGATGCGCCAGGGACCGAGCCAATTTCGATTTTACGCAACTGCAGTCTGTATAGACTTTGCTGCCGTTATTGTAAAGCTAAGAAAAAAAAATGAGATACAATTACATTTAATAAAAATTATAAAGATATATCTTTAAATGTAGTAATAATTTAAAAACGTTTCGACAAAAATTTTCCATTTTTTTTTTTTTTTTTAAAGTAAATTTTCTGTTCTTTACTCAATCGGTTCTTTTTCCTGAGGCAAGAGTATCTTTTGATAAAGATTGCAAAATGTAATATCAAACCTTCATGCTGCGACAGCCAGCGTGACATGCAGATATAAATGTTTGTCCGTGCTCAGAGCACACAGGATTATAGGTGACGTAGTCGCAATGACACTGTTCGTTGCAAGGTAGTTGCGTTTTCAAAACACCGTTCGGCTGAATAGCAATCTGATTGTCGTTTGCCGAGCAACCGAGAAAAGCGTAAGAGATCATTCCTAGTATTGATATAACGCCAATCATGACGTTCCACGCCGCCAGGTATCTAGCTTTCGGCTTATACTTAGAGATGATCAAGCCGGACAGCAGAATCCCAAAGGCACTGAATACCAAGCCGACCGTACCGGTGATTAACGACGAGACGGACGCCGATTGCTTGTACTGGGTCTCAATATACTTGGGCATGAAAATCCAGTAGGGCATGTAGCCCATAAAGTAAAATACTGTCGCGAGATTGTTGCACATCAAAGTCGTGTTCGTCAGCAGGCGCTTAAACGTTTTTAAACATGTCCGAGATCGATGCCGGTAGCTCCGATTCTTGCTCGCCCTTGATACTCGCGGCAGATTTGTTGCGTTCCAGAGCTAGGACTTTGCGAGCGGCCGCTCTTGGCAGAGTCTTCGGGAAGAGAGCGATCACGCTTGCGAAAATGAAAAGGAGGATGGCCAGAATAATCCATCCTAGCCACCAGGCGCCTAACCACCTTCATCAAATGTAATTGATGTAAATTTTTCAAGGTATTTATATATATATATATAAATATAATACCATAATTTATTTGATAAATAATCTATCAGTCTATTTATACTAAATCATCATTAATGAACAATTACGCCAGTCCTATATATACCTTGGGTCTTGCATCGTGATAGTGGGAGATAAAGTAGGGCTGATGTAGAACTTCAAGGAGAATGAGGCCAGTCCGTATCCAATGGCGGGTCCCAGCATTCGTAGAAAGTACGAGAAACTGATCAGTGCCGGTGTTTTCGATTTCTGTATATTATCGTCCATGTACGATACACCGAGGGTGTAATAAAGAGAACCACCCACTCCGGACACTAGCTGGGCTATAAAGAGGATCACCTGCGGCGCAAAGTTCCCCTCTTCCATCTCGCAATCCGGTCCGCGAGTTTCTTTGCCCAAACAGAGAAATTTCCGATGTTTGTCAGGAATTTCGCTTGTGTTCGGTGTACCTTGCGGTTTTGCCCCGTATTCTTTGGTCAGAGACAGGGCGTCCTCGCCAGGCCCGTAGAGAAAATGCGGTAGCATCGTAAGACAACAGAAAAGTACAACCTGATGAGATAAATAACGGAACATTACTTTATTACTTTATTTGAAGAGTAATTTACGTTCGCGCGAGCGGTTTTTAAGATATCTACAACCCTTTTTGTTAATTTTAAATCTTATCTATCCATTATTTTTCATTGTTATATTTCATAATTTATCATATTTTAAATATCGCAATTGTCGCGCCCAATTATCTGCGCTCGACGTCCCGAGCAAGCGCCTCTTTACTATTCGAAGAATGGAACGCTTAGCTAAATACACGACGAGAGTACGATGGCAAGAGGCATGAATGAGCGTAGCTACGATTCTAACGCTTCCTAATTTAATTAAGAACCGACCAATCGGTGAGTTATGACGTCTACCGGCTCATTCTTCGGGGCGTGTGCCTGACAGCTGATTTCGTTTCTTGCTGACGCGAGAAAGTACGGGGTTGCGAATAATATGCGATGCACATCGCGCAAACATCGATATTCGAGAATGCATGTGGTAAAACTTACGGTGTAAATACCGAAAGCGATCCATCGAGGCCTGTGACCCTTTCCTGCGTAATACGAGAGGGCGACAGATACGAAAAGCTGCGAGATGTCGTTACCCACTGTGATGAGACCTGCACAGGAAGAAAGCACATATATGACATAAATGGTGACATAAATGGTGACAAAACAATTCATTTAATGTCTGTTTATTTACTGTCCGTTATGCGAACGCTAATTATTATTACGCGTTGTTTTTAAAACTTTAAATTTGATTGCAGCCAGCTGTTTGGACGGGACAATGCTTTAAAACTTTAAAACTAAACTATATAATTACGAAATATTTTTTTATCATATTATATGAAATATCATTTATCATAGCATATTAAATTATCAATAAAAAATATTTATACAATACTGGTAAAATTTTGATAAAATTAATGAGGATATGATGCTAAGATGTTTACTGAAACGAATTATATTAACACCACCGAGTGATATTCCGAATAAATAATTCCAATTTGAAATTTCACTAAAAAAAAACCAATTTTATTTATTCTTCTATTTGCTCATAAATCGTTCAATTTTTTTTTTTATAAGAAAACATTGAGATGCAGAAAGTAGAAATGCATGTAGAAATGCAAAAATTTGTCAATCTTTCCAATATTTATGAATCGCATCTATCTCTGCCATAATACAATGCATATATTTACATTTAAAAATAATTGAATACCTGTCGTTTTCGAGGGTATTTTAAATCTCTTCTCTATGGTGGTGATGGTACCATTGAAATAGGCGTAACTGGCGGAAAATATGCAGCCGAGCACACCATAGAGAAATACGTATGCCTTCTTGTTGGCGAATTTTTGCAAAGTTGGACCTTTAAGGCACCATATGCCACACGAGGTGTCATCGGTGATCGGCAGCTCCTTGAAGACATCATCGAGGGCTCTGGTCGGCGTCGTGGGTGACGACGGCGTCGCGGGTGGTGTCGTCGGCACCTGTAGCAGCTTCAGGTTCTCCGGCCCGTTCTTTTCATGGTTCGAATTGCTCGAGTTGTTCTTCATCTTCGCCTCGACCTAGTCGTCGCGACTGGCAAACGAGCCTAACACCAGCGGCTTCGAGTGAATTCAGTGACCTCAATCGCGGGTCGCACGGTACCGATGTGACTTGATCGTCCTCGCGGCTCTTGGCATCGCTTTTTCGTCCGGTCCAGACTCGCCCCCGCGCTCACTCGCGGAATCTAATCTTCTTCCTCTCGCACTGTTCCTCGTGTCCCGTCACTTTATCACGCGGTCACGTGTTCTCCATGTTTCAACCTGGTCGCGCCCGAACAACACCTACGCCAGGAGATCCGGGGGTTGACTGTAATTGTTACGCGTGCAGCTCGATGATTTATACCACGGAGATATTTCGCCAATGTCGATGGAAAGAGTTAATTGAACTAAAGATAATACGTCTGTACAACCAGTTTCTGACATTGAATCGGCGCCAGACAATATTATCGGATTGTGAGTATTGAAACAATTTTATCGGAATAATATTTGTTAAATATTAACATTGTTAAATAATAAGAATGTGCAAAGATGTGACTATGCTGCGAGTATATTTCGAATATACAAATCATCGAAATTTTCGTTAAATGACAAAATGTTATAATAAATTTTTGATCATGTAGAACGGTTTTGAGAAATTGAGAATCTATATTTCTGTGTACAAAACTAGATAAATGTTATAAATTTAAATTTAAAAAATTAACATAATGAATGATCGATGATATCGCGAGTGAGATGCAAAAGATTCACGAACTGCGGCCACCTACCGCTGATGCAGGATGGACCCGGGGTTAGTTCGAACGATCGATTGCGATCGCCGTATAACGGAGTATCGGATATACAACTCGGCGGAGATCTCTTTTAAAAAAAGAACCGTCGATCGATTATCGATCGCTCTGCAGCCGCGAGTCAACGTAATTTCTCAAAATATAGATTCGCGTCTGAAAACGAGCGATATTCTTCCACAACTGAAGCGCCTAAACGCAACAGAGAGCAGGCCGTGTTCTATGTCTACTGAGGATCCCCACCTTCCGCCCCCAAGGAGCCGATCGTACGAGAGAGAGCCACGAGATCTCCTTACACATACCTACGGTCTACCGTGTCGTTATCAAGCGGGTAAATTCTGTCTCTTGCAATCAGCCTATTCCCTCATCCCCTCCTTCCTATCGCTCTCTCTCTCTCTCTCTTTTTCGTTCTGATTATTTCTCTCTTCTTTCCCCCCCCCTCCTCCTTCCCTCCTCTTATAACTAGAAACTAGCTATCTTGGTTATTCGTGAATGTCGTCGACTCGATCCGTCGCGATCTATCCGATAAATTACACCTGTATGAGTAACGTTCGGGCGGGAGTAGAGATACTGCGGTTGACTCTTACGTAGAAAAAAAGTAATTAACGGGTTAAGCGCTCGGCGCCCCCGTGTTGTTGCGAAATTAAATGTACGAAACATCACACGGCGAAGTCGTAAAGCACATCTTACCGTTGCTACTGCAGCCTGACAGTTTAATTTCGAGCACCTCTTGTAATTACCTGTGAGTTATTAATAAATTAATTGCCACAAAAATATCAAAAGCTTTATTGGAAAGCTCATTCAATCTCTAGACTTTTTTAAACCAACTTTATTCTTGCAATTTTTAAAAAACAGATTATCCAATTTTTAATTGTACCACTAATTACAAAACACTTTATATATGCATTAATTTATTATTTTTTCATGTTGAGACGAAAAATACATTAAAGTAATTTATTGCTGTCTCGTTGTTGCGATTTTCGTGTGACACGTTATTTTATAACTTTTTATAGCACGAAAAAAAATTGTCGAAAGTAACTTGTATGTGTACGTGTGTATGTGTATATATGTATTTTTTGAGAAAACACCTTTCAACAAGATCCTTTCTCTTTCACCCCTGTGAACCCCAGCATTTAAATCCCGACGTTGGTGAAACATAGGGCATCCCTATTGGGGGTTATTCGCGACGTGCAGACCACGACGACGTGCACGAGGTCTTGGCTTTCGGTACGGTGTTGTCTAAGCTCGTTTCTAGTCAACCTCCGGGAGCAGAGGCTCACATTGTGAACCCATTATGATTTAATAGAGCCGACGTGAGGTACACACGCGCGCATACATAGGCACTCGGTAAACTCTTCCGTCTATTCCCGCGCATTGCTAATGGCATACATCAAACAGCTATGTCGCTAATAGCTGACGGGTAATTGCTGAAGTTTAATTTTTGTACTCCCCCCCCCCCTCCCGAACGACCCGGTTCTCCAAGCGCCGAGTATTAGGACTGTGCTGTTAGAATTACGATGATGATCGGTCGTTTCTATCGGATATTTTTGAAAAATTATTATATTAATAATTATGGACAGATAATTTTCGACTTCAAATTCGATAATATTTAATTGTTTTCTTCATCTCAGTAGCATTCCATTTGTTTGTCTTTCGTAAGAGGCTGTTATCATACTTTGCATTGAAAAAGAAGAGAGAAAAAGAGAAAATCGGTTCTTCACTCTTGTTATTCAAAGTAATCTTAAATAAATATCTAGATAGCACCTTGTGCTCAAGGAAAAAATGATAGTATAAAATGACGTTTAACAATACAAATTTTCTTATCTTATGATAGTAATCTGTATGCCTAAATGACTACCAAACTTCTGTATGTGTACGTCTCAATTAAAATTAAAACAAACAGTTTCGTAAAAAGAGAATGTAAAAAGAGAATCTCGTAAATATTTATAAGATGAAAAATTGTTAAATATTTATAAAATAAAATTTCTAAGAAACCATAAAAATCAATCATTTATACGCAAAATCAAGTCAGTCAGTTGAATGATTCCGAACTAGTCGCGATTTCGTTTCGCAAGCTGGCATTCGTCGTGATTTGCAAGAAATGTCTTCCTGACGGTATTTGCCTGTTCGCAAACCTGCCGAGACAAATGAAAATTTACATCTACGATAAGAACATCATAAATACACCTCGGAACACACCGTGTGTACACAAATTTCTTGGAATCTTCGATCTGTCGTTTGATGCATGCAAATAAAACTTCGCAGAAATAGTCGATATCAATTTGCTAACACGGTAAAAAGTTATTTCTGCTGAAGATTCATTTTACTTTTCATATTATTTTCAGTTCTCAGTTTATTTGCACGTAAATTGGATTTGTTGTAAATTATAAAGTGTGTGTCATTATAAGTTATATATAGCCTTCACATAGTTATAAAATGATCTCCTGATTATCACCAAATCAGTGATACACTTTCCCCTACTTCTCATAAAAATTATCATTTTTCATTCCCAGTTATTCTTATTAATATAACTATTATGTATTTATTTAACAGGACAAAATTAATACATAAGAAGTTCATGTTCTTTATATTATACTGTCAGATTTATGACATTCGAAGCATGTGACGATCAGGTTTAAGATTGGCGAGACGCCTTCCATTACTGAAAAAAATCCAAAATCCACTGTGATTTATAAACTCTGTATTTGCATGATTCTCGGCAAGATGTTTGCGCAATCTGAAATGTGTATATCACTCGAAGATTGCTACCTTTTGAATGAGGTGAAATGGAAAAAACTTTTCATCGCAAAATTAAAAGTCCATGAATGTCTAATGTGCTTTTAAGTTCATTTTGACCATTTTATCTACTAATAATAAGTAAACTTTTATAAATCATTAACGACTTACATCAAAGAGTAATAAGAAATTAACATCGCAAATTTAAGAAGTAGAAATAGTTATTATAAGAATTCTGATATTATAAGAATGATTGTAAATAAGCAAAAATCGTGAGATAAAGCTAGATAAGATAACGAATCCATTTTTATTTTATGTTTTTATTTTATGAGATATACAATTATATACGTTCAGACTGTGATTGTTACATAATTTATTAGTAATATATTTATTTGGTCAAAGTCACATACTTTTTCCACAATATTACATATACCGTTGCAAATATTTCTTTGCGATATTTTATTAAACTTTATCATAAGTTAACAAAGTATAAGGTTAGCACTTCTCTAGCACATGAACAAATTTCGTCAGACGCTTTAAATGGCACAACCCACTTGCGTTTGTAAATTACGCAGCATTCGTAGAATGGCAGAAGGAACGCCGGATGAGCTGCATTAGTATCATTATTATTACAGCAGAAGTAATGGCCAAGTATTTTTCTCAAGCTGAGCTCTACGGCCTCTACTCGCGATCAGTTCTTATGGCACCTGTCTATCCAGTCTAAGTCGTTGCATGTTGGCATGTATCTATCGTTTCCATAAAAAGAAAAAAAATATAACTTTTTTTAAAAAAAAAAAAAAAAAAAGGAATGTTATGTCGAGCGTTACGATATATCGTGATGTGCGTGTTTTCTTCAAAAGAAAAGAAAGAGATAGATCAAGCATAATCGATAATAAAAGTGACGCGATCCTTAAGCTTAGAAGTGGTGGAAGGTGAGTAAACCGATTGCTTCCGGTCATCTATATCACACGCTTCTATTCCTCCTTCTTTATCGGGCAGTCTCGCTTCTAGTCTAGATCGGACTGTACCTCGACTTAGAAGACGTTGATAAGGTCTATATGAAAGATGGGTCAGGGTCATGCACAATGCAACCGTGTACACACAACAGCAAAACTTCCCTATGTCAGGTCGAGGTGTGAATAAGCAATAGCTTCCACTTCTTTTATACTATATTCTTATAATAAAAATCTTACACATAATATATGTTTTATATTAAATATTTGAAAAACATTATCGAGCTGAAAATAAAAAAATAATAATTTAAAATAAATCGATCTTTTTTAAATTTGAAAAATTATAATAAAAATCCCAATAATCCCAATTATGGCAAAATTATTTTTATAAAATCATATGTTTCTAATCAAACTATATGTATGCGATATACAAAATGCAGTCAAGATATTTTTTATTTATTTTTATTTTAACAATAAGATTAATAAAAAATCTCTTATAAATGCTGAAAATCCCTTTGTCGTTATCAATAATGTATCCTCATTCTCGTTAGCATGCAGACGTTGCTAGCCATCTTGTAGACCTCATTTTTCTTTATTTGCGACGGAATAAGGTAGAACGTTTAATCGTAATACCGAAGCGCATCCTCTAATGGTGTTCCGAAGGATGCGATCGATAGGGACGATCTGACGTCACGGGAACGTCGCGGAATTCATTACACGGGCCAAGCCGCCTTAGCTGGGTGGGCTTAAAAATTAAAAGGCTCTCAAACAAAAACTCTCTTTTTACCTTCGTGGGATGTAATCCCTCCGTCCGGTAGTAGCCCGTGCCCCGCCGACTCCCCGAATTTCGGTAGTTTGAAGACAAGCCCTGAGACTTTGCCTCCATCTTTTACCGTTTCGACGCTTTTTCCCTCGCATTCTGAAACTGAGGATCAAACACGATCGATTCACCGATCCACGATGTAGTTTTTCGAATAAATCCTTTCACCTCGCGGCCTGTTATATTTTATTTGCGAGAAATTTGAGCGATAAAGAAGGATAAATATATTATTGGAGTAACGGATCGTTGAATTTTGCTAGATCAAACATTGCGGAAATGGAAATAAGATAATGCAAGCAAATAATGTAAGCAATTTTTTATATTTATATTTTTTTGTGTAGAGAGTTTGTTAATTTCGCTAATTAAGCAAAATTAAATATAAATAAAATAAATATAAAATTTAAGAATTTAAAATATATGAAGAGATTTTTTTCAATGTGGAATAGAATGCAATAAAGCATGAAGATAATAACGTTAACAAAAATAACGTATTAACAAAAAATAAGCGTAATTTATTTACAAAGAAACATGAGCATGATTTAAAAATAAAAGTTCAACAACGAAATTGTAATAATGATAACTCTCACTTTTTGGTCTCGAATATCTAAAAGCCTGAAAGTTCAACAATCAGGATGTATTATATTAACGTTATTTACACGACTGATTCTGATCACTAATAAAATCATTACACTATCTACAAAACATCGAAATGTTCAGCGGTCAATCACAAAAAAATTTCAGGTACCTAAAACAATTTAATAAATTTTATTGGACTTTTCTATTATTAGGCTGCTGCGAACGTTATAGATGACTGTGTTCTATCCTCTGATTTAAATTCCCGTTAACTTCCTTCTTCTTGTCTGCATTATCAGTCGTAACTTCACTTTCCTTCACAAACTCGCGTCTCTTGTCACTTTCCGCGGCGCCATATAGATCTAAATCTTTGCCAAGATAACAAACTGCCACGTCGAATAATACTCCAATTGTGGTAAATCCTATAACATGAAGGAAACAACAGTTTTTTATAACGAGACAGACAAAATCAAATGACGAATCGATATTCGAATGAGTAATATTTGATCAATAAAATCTTTTGTCCATCCGTGATAACTGTCATATTTTTATCTTTTGCGACTCTTTTGTTTCCTTTTTTATCTAATCAGTTGACGGACAAACACGTTGCAAAATATAGGTCATTAAACTCGACGATACTCACCGGCCGACGAAACGTTCACCAAGTATCGAAAATTGTCCCGATGATAAAACCAGCAGTTTCCTCTGGTTCCACAGGATTCTTCCCATATCAAACAAGTCGAGTCGATGATAGCCCCATAGATAATTGGTCCCGGGATTAGAGCCAGCAATGAGAGGATCATCAGCGTGATTCCCTGAGCGAAACTCTTGTCTCTCTTTTCGACGCACCTGTAGTTCACCAGGACATTACCAATTCTCCCGGAACAGCCCAACGTTTGGATCACGCAGGTGAGTATCATGAAGAGCAAATACGATTGGTTGCAGTCACTGGCACATGGACCGGCTCTGACCTTATCGAAGATCGGGAGTGCTTGCGAATCAAGCAGGTACATCTGCTGTTCCGGAATGAAAGCCCTCCTGGAACTGAAATAATCAAAGTGGCCTTCGATATAGCTTGGTTCATTCAACGGCAGACAACTGCAGTTTCCAAACTGTTTGTCGTCCAGGATTGTTTGGCAGCCCGCGTGGCAGGCCGAGAAGAAAGTTGTCTTCGACGCTTCGTGGCAGACGGGTGAATATTTGACATCTACACAATTGCAATCGGCGTTGCAATTAGCTGTCAAATTCATTCTGCGAAATAGATAAAAAATTTTAAGATTATAATTTGACGTAAGATTGATCTGCGGTTTTTATTAAAAGATCAAATTATATAAAGATACTCGCTGTTTTGTCTCTAAATCTACACCGCGGATTCCAACGTCTGTGCAACCAAGAAATGTGAATAATATTTGTCCCAGGACAAAACAAATACCGACAAATACATTCCATGCGAGAAGTGGTCTAGGGCCCGGTTTGAATTTGCTAATTATTAACCCTGATAATAAGAATCCTGATACCATACCAATTAGCGATATGGGACCTGCGAACAAAAAATATATTATATATTATATATATATATATATATATATATATGTGTATGTAATTATTATTAAATGTTTCTTATCAAGCATATTTCTTTCGATGCAAAAAAATTTAAGGCCGATTTTTTTTCTCAATAGATAAATTATAAGAGAAAAGCACCTGACATTAGAAATTATTATGTAATAAATTATAAAATGCTCCTGAGAGTAATCTGAGAGTATTAAACATTATATCATATAAGACGATTCGTGAAATAATTAATATAAATGCTTGCAGATTAATGTATATACCTGCTATCACGGTACCGCCAGCCGCGGATGTGTTGTATTGGACTTCAAGATATTTCGCCAAGAACGTAATATAGGCCGAAGCACCAAGTATGTAAAACACGCCGCTTAAATTGTTGCAGGTCAACAGCCAGTTGGTTAACAACCGTTTCACAGCTTTCGGAAATTCACGGATCGTCGGTATGTACTCATTGTCAGTCTCCAATTGTATTGGATTAGCAGGTTCCATCTGTATCGGAGGCTTCTGCTGCAGCACTAAATCTAACTTCAAAGGTATTTCACCATCCTAAAGCGAAATATTCTTGTTAATTAATTTATAGCGATGTATAATTTTTCATGAATTTTTTTATATGCGTGTGTATGTATGTATATATATATTTAGCCTTTTAATTATAAATTAAATCTTCAGTGTTTATCAAATTTGACATGTTGATTGGCTTTTCTATGGAGAAAATCACTATTTCTTTTATACAGATAAATAAATATATATAACAATATATTCTTTAAATACAATAAATAAACATTATGTATAGATTAATTTTTTTGTTTTATTGCGAAAAATCAAATTATTGATTAATCTTATACTTCTTGAAAAAATATTCTTAATATTTTTTATCTCATTTGTCTCATTAAAATATCTTCTTAATTTCAAAAACTTTATAAAGTCCAATATGAATTTTTTACCTGTTTAGAAGTATCTTCCAATGTAGGAAGATCGCGTGGAAACATAGCGATCAAAACGGCGAACATGCCCATCGTAACGCCAAGAATGATCCATCCAAGCCACCATGCGCCTAACCATCGCGGATCTTTGTTCGTAATAACAGGATGGAGTTTTGGATCTATGTACAAACTTAGACAGCCGTAGCCTAATAGAAATCCGATCGCCGGACCCACGGTACGTAAAGCGAACGTAAAGCCTTACAAATAGAATTGAAATCCATTACTATTAAATCGTATCTCTAATCCTTGTCGGTAATGTAACAATTACTATATTACAGAAAATTGATATTGTATTCTGAAAGATTTATTGTTAAAACTGTATATAACCGTATAAAACTGTTAATAAACATTTGTAATTTTACACGCACATATTTTATAACAATCAGATAAAATTATCAAAATATTCCATTCCAAGAGTAATCAAGCATTTCTCAGCAACTTATCTTGAATCCTCTTAAGATATTGCATTATTCACTTATCAAACATAAGTTAAAAAGACGATCAATTGTTATAACAATTTTAGCAAGAAGTACCTCTTACCTCTTTTATTTACAAGCAAAGATGGGATTTAGATCTTAATTGGGTTAGTTTCATTTTTGTTAAAAAGTTAGTTTAAAATCTGTCAATATTATCAATATAGAATTTATCGATTGACGCTTACCTAAAAGCATAGGCGTATTTTTCTTCTTCGTATTATCATCTAAATACGTCTGTCCTAAACCATAGTAAAGAGTAGTTCCGATACCGAGGATAAATTGAGATATAAAAACCAACAGTCGAGGGAGGTAGCTAATGCTTAACATAGTTTCGGTGTCGCAGAGTTCCGGCTGGTCTGTACGTGAACAAATCGCCAGGTCCTTCGGAACAGTTGTCATGTTCAGCAAGGTCTGATCCAGATATTCTTTCGTCAATGCCAAGGCATCTTTTCCAGGACCGTATATGAAATGGGGCAGAGCCAAAACGAGACAGGACAATGCGCTCAAGCCGACCCCAACCGCGATCCATCTTGGCCGATGACTAGATCCTCCGTAGTAGGTCAAGATCAGGGACAAGATCTGTGAGATCTCGTTACCCGAAAGAATTATACCTGTGATAAATTACACAAACATCTTTAGAAAGTTTGTTAAAAGAAATAAAAGGAATTTAATTAACATAATGATTTAATATACACAGGTAGACAGTTTGATCATTTCCGTCATATCAGATTTGATAAACAAAGGATTACTTTATCATTTTTTTTCAGTATATGAATAGCTCATAAATAATCTTTTAATCGTCTGAATCGTTTTATAAAGAATATTAAACATGTGTGTGTGTGTGTATATATATATATATATATATATATATATATGTGTGTGTGTGTGTGTAAAAAAAGATATATCGTATATATATTTCTTATTATTAAATCAAAATAAATTTAAAATAAATTTTAAAATTGAATTAAAATAAGATTTTATCTATCCAGAATATAAAAACACTCTCTACAAGACGTATTAATATTTCAAGTATTGTGACCACTATAAAATTGCATAATACGTGTCTTCGCTCTTCGGTGCATACACAGCGCTCGTTGTACGACAGATTTGTCACTTCTATGATTGCGACACATTACTTACCTACTAGATAGACGCACACGGAAACGCGATTCGTGCGTGTGTAAGTACGAGTACTTAAACGCGAGTATACCCGCGGATGCTCGACTGCTCGGCTTTGCCGGCAATGGGATCCGAGGTTGATAGCGATTAAGACGAGATGACGTTCAAAGTTCTGCCATGTCAACATAAAGCGCGGTGTCGAATATGCATAATTTACTTCACATCTGAATTTTTCTCTAAACAGATATCTAAATATCACGTCGAGACTAGTTGATCGCCATACAGAGTTTCTAATTCGCAAAGCCCGCGAATAGGTTCGTCCCCATAAATAATGTGTATCTTCGTTCAATATTTGTGAAATAAAGTACTCGTTGTACTCGTTGTGAAGTTTTATTATATGTGACTACGTAGAGTGAGACTCACCAGTTGTACGACTAGGTATCTTGAATCTCTTCTCCAGAGTCGTTAGGGTGACGACAATGTAGATAAAGGACATTGCCTGAACGGTGCCCAGTAAACCGTACACCGCGATGAAGTTCCTTGGGGTGGCTCGATTTCGCAACCATCTGGGATAAATCCCACATATTCCACAGTCTTTACTCATACTTCCGATAGCCTTTAAAAAGATTTATTAGCGGACTCTTTTCCTCTTTTTAACTCAACATTATTTTATGTATTTAGCTCATCGTAAAAACTTTTAGGATATAAACGTAGTAGTTAATGCGGTAACTAAGAAAATCAGTTTTACAATGTTTTCAAATTATCAGTCTTGAAATTATCTAGATTTTATTTATATCTCTGTTTATATCTATTATATCGCTTCGCTTTTACTGATATCTACTTTTATTGAAATCTTAAATGATATGATTCAATAAATTGAGACTTATAAATGTAATGTTATGTACTGTACAAAACTATTATAAGTATTATTCGCAAAAATAAAATTTCAGTAATTGTCGTATGATAAATAGTTATTTTGATATATTTTGATAACCAGTTCGTATTAAAACTTTTTATAGCTTTCATTCCGAGCGATTGTTAACTTTGCTGCATCAGCGATGTTTTGTATCTGGTTTAACGAGAGCGTTCCGAAGAATTAAGTTCTGCGATAAAAATGTTCTCGATAAATGTTATTAATTAAGTCAATGCATTATGCGAAATATAATGTTTATAAGTAAAAATAATGCGTCGTCATCGACTCTGCGATAGCGTCGATAATAGTGACTTGCATTCACGATTTCTCATAGTGTAGACAACGATGTATTGAATGATGTATAAAAAAGGGATTGCATGACTTACAAACGTCTGTGTGTGTGTTTTGAATGTTTTCAAGTTGGTCGATGACTGCAAATACATTCAATTTCTAGCGTTCATAGATTGCAGTGTGACAGTTTGATGAATATGAGACATGTGCTTGCAATAAAAAACGTGATAAAGCTTTTATCTTTCATCATAAGTCACGTAATTATTAATACGTTAATAGAGATAATAAATCTCGCATATTGCTCACACTCGGCAGGTACTTCGGTATAATGTAGCAGTGATACCTTTTAAACGTATGCGAACGCATACATTCGTTACGCAAGTCACTTCTCAAACTAAGACACTGATTTAATCTCACTAACGTTTGCAATGCGAATATAAATAGAAAGCAAATAAAATAACAAAAAAATAATGATGTATGTAACAGAATTTCAATTTTACTTAATTTATTCTATTTCTCGCAATTATAATGTCACGTATTAAAAATAATGCATATTATTATTAAGTTCATAAATAACTTCTCACTGTATGTACTTCATGAGTAGTAATTGCATCTTATTTTATAAATTAGTTGTATTACAAATTTATAGAAATACAGGTTTAATAAATTTAATGAATTAGTTTATGTATAATAACATTCTAAACTTATTTGTTTATTCGACAGAAAGATCGAAGAAATAAAAATAAAAAATTTTTATACTCATAATAATGTAAGATAATCTGAATGATGTATACAGTAAGCAACAATCTAATCAATAAATCTAATTAAACTTATCATACCAATAAATCATTCAAATAATCTTATAAATACGTACGTGTTCTGTGCATCAACAGTCATGAAATGCCCATTTTCGCAATATAACATTAATATAAATGTTTTATTTTTAAAATTTAGAATAAAAAGAAATGAGAATAAAAAATAATAAAGATTAGGTCCTTTTTTTACGAGAAAGTTAAAATAAATATAGAAGTTGCATTAATAAACTTATATTTGTATATTATTTTTCATGAGTACTAATTAAAATACTTTATTAATATTTAATTAAATATTTTAAAAATATCCTACTAATGTAATTTCATAAATTATATTAAAGGATTATATGATTATTTTGTTAATACAACTTTTAACAATTAATTTTTTATTTCATTTCATTCGTTAGTTGAGATTTATCCTCTGACTATTATTCTCTGTCTTTGTTTACCTGAGATGCCGGCTTACGTAATTGCAATTTATCTTAAACACAAACAGTTTCTGAGGTAGAGACGTTAATTTGAAGTCATAATCAATTAACATTTCCGTTTCGTTTTCACTGTTTGTAAATATTCAACGTAAAAAAATACGTAGACATAATTATATTACATCTTACAATTAATTTATTTTTGAAAAAAATAAAAATTGTGTCTTTGCAAAATCAAATTTAAATCATTTATTTAAATTTAAATTTAAACATCAAATATTCATTTATCTTAGAGATATTACTAATATTGAGATATTCATATTTTTATAAGGTTATCACATTCTCATTTAAAATATATAAACATTATTTCGATTATTTATACAGTATGTTATTTATATAACTTTAATTTATTGTTTTATTTGCGGTCCATAAATTTCTCATAAAAGTTTTTCCTTAATTATCCTTAATTTTAGAGACGTATAAGCATTCTTGATTTCAAATGTTATACTGCGGGTTACATTAAAGTTTATTATTTTAAAATTATTAGCCCAAAAAAATGAATTAAATTTTAAATCTTTCTACCTTTTTTAAAGCGCGATTTTCAAATGTTTTCCTTTTGATTTCTACAGTGAGCGTTCATGGGTATACGTTAATGCATAAATATATTCTTTGATTAAGCTAAAAAGGATACATATAAGAATGCTTTCCCACCTTGACCTTAGATTCGTGAAACGCAGGAGGGACTTCCGGGCCGCGATTCCTACTGGATCGCGATCCTCGGGTCTCGTCTACCGGGTAGCTCGGAAATCACCACGCGCTGCGGGCGTTCTAGTTAGCACGAATAAACGCGGGATAACTGAGCTTATTCGTATGTCAATGGCAATGCTCCCCTACTATTTCTCTATCAAATCGAATGATAAGCGGAACGTCATTCAAAGGATTTCATCAATGAGACACTGGTGCTGACATCTTATTATTGGCACTCAAGCGATCCAACGCGCCTGCAACCGTAAGATAGCAGGCGCATCTCCCGGTTGCAATCCATGCTAAAGTGCATAACGAGACGAATAATGCAGCTGTCTCCTTGGATGGAATTACATTCTATACATCTCTTCTATATCACCTTCACATTGCGTTTTACGATGGAGATGTGACAGAGCTCTGGTATCTCTATGAAAATAACGTAATTAATATTACCATCATTTGGAATACTTATATATAGATATTGGATAAAAGGATCGTGTCAAATTGTAATTCTTTCTGTAAAACTTACTCATGCTTGGAGATTTGTGATCAAAATAATCTTACATTTAAAAATTTTTTATTTCTTAACTCTTTAGAAAATCGCTGTTTGTATAAAATCATTCGAGATTAAATTTAATTTAACATCGTTATCTTATTAATAATTAAGTTGCCAATTGAGAGAGAGGAAATCGCATGTTCACACGACATTGACTTAATTTAGATAATAAATTAATAAATTAAATTTATTTAGGTTCTGTTATTTAAAATCTGATATTTAATATAAAGTTACATCCAAGAATAAAATTTACTATATTGCAATATCATTCTGATGAATTTATTAGCAATTATAAGATATATCTAACAGTATGTATATCGATTCTACACTGAGAATTCATCTACATACATATCTAGACAAATACATATGTATAACATTACAATATATTCTAAGATTCAAGATATCATCAGTCTTAATTAAGTAAAATTAACCATCAATTGCAACAAGCGAAACAAAATGCGAATTTGAGCGATAACAAAATAACAAAATGTTCATTGAGATCGACTCACAAATATGGGAATGGAAGTATTCGATCAATGTATATTTTCCCTTCTCTGTCTTTTTTTTTATTTTTCTTGGCTTCCGTCTTATTACACTAATGATAAAACTAAGTCGGAAAACAAAGACAAAAATGCGCGATAATTCAATAGAAAAATTATCTAAGGCGAAACATGTCCTTTCCACACAACGATTCTTCGCTATCCGTTGAGTGTTTTGTGTTGAATATTTTGTGCGCACGCACGACGAATTTATTATTGTAGGTCGCTTTTGTTTACAACGTGGCTATATGAAACTCAAGTAGTTCAAGGGTGGGGAGGGGAGGGGTTGAACCACTCTGCGTGCGTCGCATTATTCCTTGAGCCACGACCGCGGCAGGTTGCCGAGACATCGGGCGCGATTCCTTCGGAAATAATTAACGTATATTGACTCGCGGCTCACCGTAACAAATATCTCGTGGACGAGGAAGTTAATTGTGTATCTTAAAACGAGGTTAAAATTGCAAAAGTAAAGAAATTTATTTTTTTTAGTTTTTGTCATAATAAGTTACAATTGCTTTATAGTAAATTTCTTTACTTTTTCATTTCGTTTCAAAATGACGAAATTGACTCCTTGAGATCGAAAGGATAATTCTTGGTGATTCATCCACGATTTGTCTTCATTTCTAATATAAGTTAATTTTAATCTCGGTTCAATTTCCTCTCTTCTTTTTCTTTAATTTCAAAAATTAGAAAAAGAATAAAAAATATATAAATCAAAATTAAAATTAAAATTAATAAACATTAGTGGGGAAAAAAAACGCTAATACGGCAATTCAACAAACGAGAAAAAGATGCTTTTAGCTTCTTTTATACTTAAATATTTATATTTAATTTTTATTTTTGCCAAAATAGGATCGAAACGGTACAGTGTATTCGGATGTCGATTCGCGCGTTGTGCTTCTTCGAATCGGTTTAAACACAGCTTGCCCGCCACTCGGAGTAATACGTGAATCACTGAATTGATGAATTCGCATAGTTCAAGATCGAAAACCTGCCGATGTTTCGACGATTCGTTAACGAATATTCTCGCACATTTTGAAATACGTCACGGCACAATTCTAAATCTCAATCATAAACTGTCCCATTGCCAATGCGCCCGGATTACGTTGTTCAATTGACTTGCGTGGTTACGAGGGTGCAGGAGCTTGAAGGTGACGTCAGTTTCAAAGCCGTAAGTGAAGTGCGCGCGCAGGACGATACGGATCGATCCTGGATCAAAAGCCGCGTCGGGATATCCTCGATTCGGTAAGTACAGTCGCGATAGGTGCTGTTTTTTCATTAACCGCGCTCTTCATTAACGCGATAAGTTTGGTGATCTCGCAAGGTGAAATTTTCTTCTCGAACTATCGAAATACGTCGCGCAGGTGTGATATCGTCCGATGTCGATTGTCGATTGTCGTATATATCAGTTCCGCGAAACGGCTCGCGTCCGCTTTGGAGCTAAGCCTTGAATTCTAGTCCGTATATTTTCGCTCGTGTTGAGAATAAAAACAAAAAAATTCGATTCCATAAATGCAAATTCAGTCGTCATTAATTGGACTAAAAAAATACGCAATATACGAAGTAAAAAATGGCCGAAAACGTCGTACAGGCGGGAACCAACAGGTGTAGCGTCACCGCGAATATAGCCGCGTATGCGCCCGACGCGAGAAGTTGGCCGCGCAATCTACGAATTTTCATCTTCGCCATTTCGAATCTATTATCCGTCGCGTTGCTATTATCGTCTTGTCGAGCGAGTCGGACGAACGGAGATATCCGCGTGTAATTCCTCGTTGCCGTGCGTAACGAGGCACACGTCGTAATTAGTTGTTGGTCCGCGGAGTGATGCTGCGCATAGTGATGGCGGTTAACCCTTTCGCGAGTGTGTGATAAGTGTGTGTGTGTGTGTAAGTGTGCGTGCGCGTGAGTGCGTTCGTATGTGTAGTGAATTTGTATAGTGCCAGAAAATTGGAATAATAGCGAAATCAGAGACGAGGAAGAGGAATCCCGGGGCATCAGGCATCAGGCATCGGTGGAACAGCGACCATGAGTAAGTGCGTCGTATTGTAAAGGTTAGATTACCTATAATGCAATTTCGCGAAACTCATATTCGGATGCCATAAGCGTGCGATAATGATCTTTATCCTTATTCGTGAACAAAAGAATCGCGATGTTGACATAAATTTCTTTCTGTAGAGTTGATGGATTTGGAGTTGGAGATTAAGTTATATCTGTACGGATTTTGTCAACAATTTATTATATTTATTACTTTTTTTATTTTTTCATAAAATTCGCGATTATCGATCTGTTTGTAATCTATATAAAATATTTTAAATTTTATTTTTGGATACACTTGATTATCTGATAAAGTAATCGATATTATCTTTAATATTTACTAGAAATTAAAAAATACATAAAATATTTCAAAATATTTAAAAGAACGTGATTTTTTTTTATTAGTTTATTTGTTGATAAAAAACCGAAAGTTATTTATTATGTTTATTTAATTATACACGCGATTTAATCGAAAATATTTGTTTTACTTTGCTTGTATGGATTCAACGAAATTGATTCATTATTTTTATATCAAGAGATGCGATAGAAAATCTACTTATCTCGCATTATCTCTTACCAAATGTGATACCCAAATCAATTGTAGTTATACTGAATCTCGAACATTACAATTAAATCAATATATCAAATGATCGATAAATAGGTATATTAATTTATGTGCGTAATTACGAATCTAAACGCGAAGATTTTACGATCCTATTATCCAATTTTAATTATCTGTAATTTGAAAAATATTGCAGTTTCAACATTTGAGATTGTCAGTTTTTAAATTATTATACTAAAGCATTATAATAATTTCGAAACGGTTTAATCACAAGTGCAAAATAATCGCTTCATATGATGAGCACCAGCACCTTAGTTATTTTTACATAGTTATTACTCTCGACGAGGGCAACTCTTCTTTTTGCTCGTGCTTTATGAGAATTGTCGCGACGATCCTGTGAAATCATTAAATTTATCTTTAGCCATCAAAAAAAGACGATGCCAAAGCGACGATGTAGTCTCTATTGTCAGACAGCACAAGTATAGAAAAATTTTAAAATCCCATTATTTTATATAATGAAAGAATATATGCAATTTATTGTAGAATATGAAATAAAAAAATCTTTAAATATACATTGAAAAATAAAGGAACAGAATGAATTATTACTACGCCTGAAAATATTTGCAAATATCTGATAATTCTCATAATTCAAATTTATTTCTATTGCTATGTATCAAATTGATACACGCTAAGGGATATGTATAAATCGATAAAAACACATGGGGTTATCCTCTTAATGACAATATATTTGTTTTCGGTCTCGTGAATCTATTAATAGAGCGCATATTAATATTATTGAGGATAACAGGCAATATATATTACAACCTATGTATATAATTAAGATTATATATACAATGGGAGTATAGGATAATTGAAAAAAAAAATGATTGTACCCGTGATAAGAATATGTTTTTTTTACGTTTTCATGGCAGATTTTCTATCATTCTCTTTACCTGTAGCGGAAACTTTAGCGTTTTTATAACAAATTCCTTAATTACTTCACGTGTACATTTCGTTTCTTCGTTAAGTACATGAACAATATCATATAATTAATAGTGACAATAATGATAATAATAATAATAATAATAATAATAATAAAACGTAATATCAATAATAATGAAATAATAATAATAATAATAATAATAATATAATAATTTATTTTTCTATTATGTTATAATAATACTTAACACTAACTCCTCCTCTAACGTTTCCTCTAACTTTTTACAAAAAGTTTCGCTTTTGGTTTTCTCCGTGTTCGTTAACTTTTACTTACAAATCTAACAAACCGAGTTAACCTCGTTTAAGGTTTGAAAGGGTTTGGGACTAGACAACGACGTTCCTCATAACCCGATCCTCTAATTGATTACATTTTGATATTCCTTTAGCTCTCCTCACCCTTTCGTTGAGCGTCACTCTTATACACGAGTTAGCGCGTCGAGCGTTGCACTAACGAATCGCTGACTAGTTTCTAATCATTACGGCTACTCGACTGTGCTAATTAAGGCACTGAATCACTAAGAGTAGACGAATGTACATTTTCTTGAATTTTGAAGAAAAATCGATTAGATCAAGTGTCAGAAAATGATCGCCAATAAGAATCAATAACAATGGTTTAAAGACGCTCTCATGTTAATCGTCACACACATAATCGTCAAAAATTCATCTTTTTCTAAATAGCGATAAGAAAATGTTAGACTTGCTCTGTAAGAGCAATAAGAGCGATTTGTTAATAAAATCGATTTATTCGCTTCTTGATCCTCCGCAAATTCCCCGTCGCCATAAAATTGGTCAATGTCACCTCATTTAGTACATCTAATTGATTGATTAACGCAACAAGGCCTCGAAAATAAGACACTTCATTGTTCGCTGATGTGCGATTTTTAAGGCCATCGTGACTTGATTAAATGTTTTCGGTAATTATATAATATGCTTCAACCATTTTCTTTCTATAAATAAGTCACATTTGTGAGTCTATGTAAATTTAATTAATATTTCAACTAGTAATACGTGTAATATTTTATATCTTATAATAAATATTGATATATTTATACATATAAATATAAAATCATGTTCTGATAAGCAACAGAGAGCCGAAACAAGTAGTGCATATGAATCAATATCGAAAAACAAGTACTTTGGAAGATATATCTTGTTATTACAATGTGTTTTATATATATATATATTTATGGACGGTATCTATAATCGATCCTTGAGGAAAAGAATTATAATTATAAAAATTATAATTATGTATAAATATGTAATATTGTAATATTGTATACATAATTACAACAGATTATAATTATAATTATATATATATGTGAACATAACATGCATATGTATATTGATAAGAAATTCTCATTCACCAAGGAACTATAAATTCCGTCTCTTTTTTTTTTTTTTTTTCCTTAAGCGTTATCCTAAAACTTGATTCGTTACAGATAAACGCGTTTTTTTTTTTTTCAATTTATTTCATCGGGAAAAGCATGAAAATATAACTTAACAACTTACAATACTAGAAATCTTGTTTATCATTACATTTTTAAGATCTATGTACTTAAAATTTACTTAAAATTTAAAACACATTCTTTTCGAAATGCGTATCTCTGATCGTACCAGCTGGTTCTAAAATTATTTCAGAGTTCTCACATTAATCTCCGTTGATATTTTTAGCGCATTCAATTAACTTTGTCGAAGACATATCGGGTGTCAGAGCTATGAATATTTTCTGAAGAGAAGTTTCTTGGACGATACCGTTTGAAATACAGAAGTTGTTGCGCGAGCGATACGTTCGATTTAGGAACCACTAAAATACATACATGATGTTCTAATATTCTATAAGTTTAAATGTTATGTTTTAAAAATTATAACGTACATTTCGATATATTGCTCTGTTGTACAATATCTTAAAATGTGCTGTTGTATATGCTGTTAAAATACAAAACATTATGTTCAAACGCCTGTAGTAAACTATTTGCGCACATAGTTTTCGAATATAGACCAAAGTACTTAGTAAGCCTCTTTTTCGGCTCTCGAATTTCGAATCGTTCGCATGTCGAGGATCATTTTGCCAAATGAGCGAGCTCGTTATAAATAATTATTATATCATTATAATCGTAATTCTAAAAGTCGTTGGTATCCTTTCTAAAGATTTCGCGATACACTGAACGCGCCAGTGTCGGCTCTGTAGAAGCAGGGGGAGGAAGATATTAGATCGGGGAGGCGAAAACGGAAGAGTAAAGATTAATCGACTTAGCGGGAAGTTGCGGAGCGCTGTGACGGGTTTGTCGTTTCATCGGAAACTCTTCCTTTTCGCCTCTTGCAGTACTCGCGGACAGCATTTCGATACGTTCGCGAGACGTGATCAGGAACATAGAAATCTCGAAGAATAACTAATAACGAGGAAGATGATGAGCTGATCCTCGAAGGTTATATAATCGAGGATTGAATGTTTTTCGCGCAGCTTTACGTTTCTTACAGAAGGCTTAGCTGGCAAGCATCTTGTGGCGGTCTAATGTTAAACTTTTATTGCAATCTTGCCTCCTGAGGTGTTGTCTGGTACGGTAAACCCGGGAAAGCCGCTCCAGCTGCCGTTGCCGCCGCCGCTGCCGCTGCTGGCAATCCTGCAGCACCTGGCAAAGTTGCATATGTGTATGGCGCCACGTAACCCGCCGCGGCATTAGCTACAAAAAGAAAATTGTTTCCTTATGAACATTACGCATCGTAATATCTCATGAATGTTATTCGCTGTAATATCTAGTTTTATAATCGTTTCTTGGAATAGGATTTCCGCTTCAATTTTCATATCCGGACTCGTTCGAAATTTCGCACATGAAAAACAAACAAATGTAATTGTATATTCAATACAGATGTAAGTTTGAAGTCTAAAAAATCTCTTTCTTGATACGTATACAGATCACAGAAAAAGCATATGCAAGCGATTTGTGTGCATTTTAGTTTTTCTTATTCTGTGCCTTAGCTTTCTCTTCCTAGTGCTATTCGCTTGTAATACGCTTGTAAAGCGGATAGTGTTCGTTGACCACCATCATTCATCGCGGTAATTCACCGCCACCATCACCACAGACAGCGCAGACAGACTGACAATACATTATGCGTCAATTTTTATAATTTATGAAGCACATGCAAGATATTATCCTGTTCATTGCTGGCTCATTACTGAGCATCAAACAACGAAAAGATTTCATGCGCGAACATAATTATAACGTTATAACGTATAGGGCTATAGGTAGTACTATAAAAGAAAGATAGGAATATATAAAGTAATTTAAAAAAAAGAGTGAGATTTTGTTTTGAAAATTGTCCAACTTGCTGAAAATATTGCTGCTTGATATTAATACGAGTCAATGGCAAAATATTCAATTATCAAATTCGAAAGAAAGCGAAAATTATATATTAATATAGAAGATATACGTAGCAGAATTCCCACGAAGGATCCGTTAGGAAATGCTGAAGGCTTTTGGAAAACGCAAGACATGTGCGTAGAATATCAAGCGAAGATCATTGCATCCGCTTCGCATACGTTGACATACATCTCCGGCATCGGAATTATTATTCCCCTAGCCATGCATAATTTGTTGCGTGCAGCAAAGACTGCGCACATCATCGGGTTACGCGTTTCCTCGATTCAATTCCCTTCGCATTATCCCGATGTTATTCCCCCTTGTGAAAACGAAAACCAGATCCTGTGAGAACCCCGCTTGCGAGTAAGCACTACGGACAGCCCCGAGGAAAGTGCGGCGCAACCCCTCCCGTCTTCCCTCCCTATCTTTAAGATCTTCTACCATAATCACGCAGCACGGACGGCAGAAATTGCGGTAGGAGAGCTTTCTCCGACCGTTGCTGATGCGCCAACGTCGCACCGGGTCCGTTTTGCTGTTGCTGCTGGTGGTGGTGGTGGTGGTGGTGATGGTGTAGCGGATAGTTGCTACCCTTGCTCTGGACACTATTCAAACACGTACCAGCCGCAGCCGCGGTGGTGTACGGATACGCCTCGGCGAAGTTGTACGAGGTGCCCGGATAGGTCGCGGCGGCTGCCGCCGCATTCTGGTACTCGTAGAACTGCGATGCCGCGGCGACGGCGGCTGCGTGGCTCAACTGTGTCGTCGGAAGTGGTACTAGACCACCTGGCGCCGCAGCCGCCAGGTAGGGTGATTGATACACGTAACCCGGTGGTACCCTGCAAAACGAAAATGACCGTTAGTTACGAATGTTAATGCGGTGCCCCTCTCGACGTAGCGACACTCGAAGATCCAAGGCGGTTGTTTGTGAATTAATTGCCTGGCGGATTGACGGCGAGATTCTCATTTTCTAAGCGAAAGCAGCGACTTTTTTTTTTTCTAATTATATCAAACGTTTTCACTTTGCGCACGAAACATCATGCAAACAATGTTAACAACTTTATGATTTGAATCTATAGGAATAACCATATCTATTTTGCATTAATCTCAAGTATATTGAATATTGAAACATTAATAGCCGTAAATATCTTATTTTGTCACGGTATTGATATCATAAATTCCGAATAAAATGCCGTCTAGTCCATGAAACAATAATCGACAAACAAGTACGCCTATTTTGAGGCGGTCGAAAGCTATCGGACAATGCTCCAAATTTTCAAAGAAGACGCAACAAATAAAATCTGATAACTTTCGTTCGCCTTATATTTTCTTTTTTTCTTTTTAATAAACATAACGGAGTTAAGGAAGGAAAGGTGAAATGAAGAGCGAATGTTATTCGTGTCATAATTAAATGTAGGTGTATATAGAAACATTTTTTTCGTGTAACATGTTGTGCTCCGGGTGTTCGTTCAATCGAAATAAATATTTGAAAAATCGTCTGCCTCTTGATTGTCTTAAGATATTTAAAGATAAAGGCGACGATCATTGAGATCAAATCGACATCGCAAAGATGAAGAATTTTTATGCACGTTTCTACACCACCGGTTGGTCGACACGAAGAGTATGCGCGGTGAAAAACATGAATTTTCTTTACTGCATTTCGCATTACAAGAAGATTCTCGACTCGACGGTCTTTCGCTCTCGAGCAGCTCTCTACCAACACCAAAAGCACGCAACACCAAACGGCAGAGTGAGCGAGGGACCGTAGTTTTTTTTTTTTTTTTTTTGTTCAATCTTCGCGCATATGCACTGTGCAAACAATTGAATTAAAATTCGTTTTTATATTTTGACATCGATCAACATGTGCGTGAGCGAGAGTATTAAGTGTACAGAATTATTTATTCCACGTTCCAAAATTGCGCATCTTTGAAAGATGTAACTTAATCATCTCTTTTCCAAACC